GTGATTTACCGGTATTTAATTCCCTGAGTTGATGTCATTTTTTTTCCCCATATAATCTTTGTTTCACACAATGACTTTCAAACACAGGAAAATTCTTCCTGAAGGAAGTTTCTGTCACTTTTCCTTACATTTTGGGGAATGGCTACAAGCTGTTGCCTCCTATGAGTAGAAGGAATAAATAGATATTTGTTCCTTACTATCTTTGCTTACCCATTAAGGGTGAAGTGCCACCAAAATAAGTTCAAAGATGTTATAAAACCAGTATATGGGAATTTCTTGATATTAACCTAATATTCATAGGAAAATGTTAAAGTTAGAAAGATAATATGAAGTAGTTGAAAGGAAAAATTCTACCTTAAAAAAACCCCAAAAACCAACTTAAAAGCAACACTGTACTGAGAAGTACTTGAGCCAAGTGTCATTTTCTGTCTTACAGAGCTTTTTAATATCTTTTTGCTATTGTTAATGTAATTGAAAGTAATTAAAAGATTCTCAGCAACCGCAGTCTGCATATTGTGAGGTAGAATATTAAGGCCATTTTCATTTCTTCACAGGTCATTGGAGTAGAGCAATATTGGATATTGCACAGATTGTCTTTATACTGTGTTTATTATCAATACTGTGTTTATTATCAATTTTCATTTAAACTCTGCTAAGCTCCTTCCTGAAAGTGAACTTTTTCTGGAAAGCAGGGAGCAAGAATAAAGAGGGAAAAGAGAGCATGTGTTTTTTTAAAAATATGCACTAGGGCATGTCAGTGACAACCTGAAGGGTTGGAAACCACATTGGGGAGCAAAACAGAATGGGAAGGTTGTGATGAGAGAACCAAGACCTAGGGAGAGATTTTGAAAAATAAATATCATAGGCTGAATGTCAAATTGTTTTTTTTCAAAGTGCATATTTCCACTAACAAGCTATACGTGAGCTTTAGAAACCATGTCAAGATCATGATGTTTAATGCTGGCATTATATATTCTTGCTAGTATCCACATTTCCTTTGTATTTGGTGTTGTGGAGATTACAATACTACAATCAGTTCTGAAGTCTATAATTTAAAAAAAAAGTATTGGAGAAGGTTCAGAAAAAAAAAAGAGAGACAGAACGACTAGAAAATAGGACTTTAATAAATTCCTAAAGAATCTCAGTCTGTTTAACTTATCAAGGAGAAATTTAAGTGCTGAAAAGTCTGTTTATAGCAGTGAGAACAAATTTTGATAAGAGATGTTCAGTATCTGACTTGTGAAAGAAGAAGTATTCAAACTTGAAATAAGTGAAACTTATTAAAAAGTGACCATTCATTGCAATGGCTTGTGAAAGTGGAGTAGGTTCCTCAGCTCTGCAAAGTTTCTAGTGGTGTTTGGACAGTTTTCTAAATAATTAGAAAAATTAGTGTGTTTGTGGTTTGTGTTTCTTTAATTTGGCTTTTTTGTTAATATGTTTTTGTTTTTTACTATTAATATTGCCTATCAGCATTTTCATGCCAGTTCTAAATGTTGAGCAAATCTTATCAAGATGTCAGTGCTATTTCAAGATATCAGAAAGTGATACACGCACTATTGCTGTGTGTTCTCTGCTGGATTTGCAGAAACTTTTGATAGCTTTTGGTGGACTTAATTTAATTTTTTTTAGAGTAGACACTATATTGCATGGCCATACAAGCATCATAGGTTCACAACACTAGAATTTCTGAGAACTACAGGACTAGAATTTTTACTTATAAGATAATTGGAGGTGCGTTAGATCTATTACTACTACTAGAGAAGTAGTATTTGACATTCTCTGTGTGTATTCATGTTTTTCATTTGATCCTCATTTATCATTACCGTTTCTAAGTAGCTCACATTTACGCACCGGTTATTTCATCTTCCATAGATCCCTGAGATATGAAGGAGGCGATCAGTGTCGTGTAACAGACTATTCCAAATAAGAACTACTTCATGCCAGGTGCATTTTATCTTAAGTCAGTGCAGAGAGCAGAGGACAGGTCATAAAAATGTGTATTCAGTGGTGCTAGTGCAATGGAGGTGTAATTGCTTTCAACTCTGGAGTAGGAAAGCCCTTGGGACATCTTTTGAATGTTAACTCAATTCCTATACTATCTTTTTCTTAGGGACCTATTTTATCACAGTGAAGAGTTATCTCTATTTTCCTCTCTGCAGTAGCCATGACATGGAGCAGGCAAATATAATTCAAATTTTCTTGGAACAGATCTTTGCACAAAATGAGAGGAAAAACATTCACTGTAAGACAAATTCTTGAAACCTAACCAGAAATATTCCATTTCGGTTATTTACAATTTCTAATTATTCTTTATCTTTCTCAATTACGTGATCTTAAAAAAAATATTTTCAAGTGTGAGTTTATCCCAAATTTGCAGATGTTCTTCGTTTACTGTACAAAATTCCAGTTTTGCTTCTGTTTTGCTTTTAAAAAAATATTTATTTGTCAGGCTATCTATTTTTCAAAATATAGATGATTCTTAAGTAGTATCTAACTACAATTAAGAACAGCTTCTCAATAAGGTAATGACTTATTACACTAGTATATACAGCATATTACCATTATATAGCCAAGGTTTTGTGCAATTATATGTAAGCTTGAAATCTTACTTTTTAGAGTAAACATATCTGCAGGTAAACTTCTAAAGCGAGATCATTTGATGTTTCAGCAACAAAAAAATTTCCTGTTTCAGTAGAACATGTTACACTGGTTTTTTTATATGCATCACAAGTGCATTTGTACAGTTAATACTTGAATTTTTTGCCTTTTTTCAGCCAAAAAGATGGATATGCTGCTACTTTTATGGGAGAGTAATGTGTCCTGTACAGCAAGAAGACAGTCTTGTATTCTTTGTGATTTGACTGAATAATTTTTAGATGTATGACCTTTTCCAGAATAGTTATAATGAAACTCCTACAAAATGTTCCATACTTGGTATGATTCATAGTATCACATTGTGTACATCCCTGTGTTTATTTTAAAAACTTTTCAAAAAGTACAGGATGCGTAGCAATACAAAATTTACAAAACTTCCTTCTAGAATCATTTGCATTCCTTTAAGGTGAGTACACTTTTGCTCAGAGCTAAGAGGGTGGGTTCCCTTTTGCTTCTGTTAGTAAAAAGCAGTTTATGTATTGATTTCCTTGATTCCCTTAAGTATTTCATGTCACTAAGAAAGCAATCAAAATATAAATACATGAGAAACTGCTCCTAGAGTGTTAAGCGCATGAAATTCACATGAAAGTTTCTCACAGCAGAATGTAAAGACAAAATTAGGATCAAAATAGTGGGAATTAAATGAACAAAATAATCACTTTTGGTATCAATATTGAAGTCTGTTGATTGATTGTATACTTTCAGAAAATAACACATTTTGTATTTACTATTGACTCCTTGATTACTAATTATCACCGGTACAGAATACGAAAGACAGAGTGAATATTGTTGCCTCTGACAAACTAAAGGCAAAACTTTAGCTCAGGAAAACGCAATGTATTTATTTAAGCAGGAAAGTCTGATTTATTTATCCTATTCCTGACAATTTTGTCTTCCTGTGTGTATCTGTGTGTGCACATGACTCCTGCAGCAAAACAAAAGTCACAACAGTAAGAGGGTGGTGTGTCTCAGAGAGGCTATTTGAATTATTTTAAGATTATTAAGCAGATGTTCACAGTCCACAGGAACAGGAGAAGCTATTAATGGGCAGGGTTGTACAATTATGTTCATCACCATAAAAATGGATATATTTATATTTTTCTGATTTCATTTTTTTCTGATGTAAAGGCTCTGAAATATTTCCTGAATTGTCGTTATGTCACACTGACATAATTTAACAGAACTATTAAATGTGACTTAGGAACTCAGTGACTTTTCCACTGGATTTCATTGTTCATAAAATGCACAATTTTTACAGGGTTCTCTAAGTTGCTTTCTATTCAGCTTAGAGTTTGAAAGTTTTTTACCTTCTCCACACACCAACTCTTAGTGCTAAGACTGATAGTGTTACATGCCAGGTAAGCACCTCTTCAAAAAGAGATGCCTGTCATGGAAAGGCAATGCTAGAAAGATACAGAAGTACTGGGGCTCTAAGGGAATTATAACCATTAGCCCCAGGTACATTTGATACATGCACTTGCAGTTCCTGATGCTATTTTAGCCATGCAGCAGCTCCAAACCACTCACCTCCTTTTCACATGCTTTGCAGCACACAGGTCAGAAAATGAAGTACTTCCTTACACACCTTAAACTGAGATGTTTTTCTACATGGTAATACTTCTTTTCATTGCTGATGTCAGAATACATAAGTAAGGTAACATACTAAGATTGAATATGGCAATTTTAATAGCCAAATAATCCACTAGTAAAGTTAATGTGAAGGCTTTTTCTTCCATTTTGGCTATTTGTGCTGACAGAGTTGCCTTGGTGGAATATCATCCTGTTATACATAAGTGTCAGATATGTGCCAGTAATTTCTAAGTTAGTGTCTGTCAGACAGGAGCCATTAAGTGCTTCAGAAGTCTGAAAGCAAGTTAAGAGAAATGTTCTTTATATCCTTTCTGATTATATACGTGAATCCTTTCCTTTGCCTCCTACTGCCATATTGTCTTCATGTGTGTTTTACTAATCCATATAACAGCAGAGTCTAGAGCAAGCAGCAGTCACAAGTATAGAGGCCATGTTGCTGAGAACACAGCTGCACTGAGCAGGGCACGTCTCAAGGATGAAGGCCCACTGCCTCCCTAAGACTGTGCTTTATGGTGAACTTGCCACTGGCTGCCACAGGAGAGGAGCCCCGAAGAGAAGATACAAGGACTCCCTGAAACAACATCTCAGTCTTGACCATATTGATCAACATAACTGGTCTACTCTGGCCTCCAATCGGGAGGTTTGGAGACACACCATCTATAATGCTGCTGATGCTTTTGAAAACGCACGCAGGATCACTCTTGAGGAGAAAAGACAACGCAGAAAGAATCGTGCCTTGCAGAATGTACCACCTAAGGAGTCTTTCTGCTGTGCCTTTTGCAACTGGATGTGCCTATCTCGTATTGGCCTTTTTAGCCATCAGCGTGCTTGTGACAAACGTGGGTAAAGCCCTTCCCAAATCTTCATTCACGAAGCCTAGCCATGATGATGATGATGATGATGATGATAAGAGCAGAGTCTCAGAGGAACTGTGCTTTATTCATGAGTTTTAGTTGAAACACGCATTGTGATCTTTGCTGTTGATGACCTGCCTCTTATTGATGTTGAAGTGAAATGAAACACCCAAGAGGTCTCTGACTGCCTAATGCTGGAAGAGACCACTTCTGCTTCATGCCAGGTGACATCAATACTTTTGGGGTGGCATGTGTGGGTTTGGTTTTTTTTTTTTGTTTCTCTGGGAAAGATGGGAAAAACCTCACTTAGGAAACTGCATGCAGCTTCCTTGTAGAGACTAGTCCAAAGCAGTCCAAAGAGCTGCGAACACATCTGTGATGAAACACACCACCCTGAGACACTTTTAAACTCTTAGAAAGAGCTGGGGAATGGGAAGTTACACTGGGTAACAATCTATTCTACTTAAAGGAGAGTTAATTCCAATATTGCCTTAATAACGGAAAGCAAATGATAAACACAATAGAACATATAGTAAGTGTTAGTCATAGAGATGGCTGATGAAGTTGTTTAAGGGAATAATCAAACATCCTTGGTTACTTTGGTTAAAAATCATGTAAAGGCCCTCTTATCTGAGGAATAAAAGAGCTTCATTTAGAGCTATTATTAAATGTTGATTATAAATAATAATGCAGAGGCAAGTGGTTCAAGATAGAGCCCTGTTCCGAAGCAGGGTAATAGTTCCATCATATATGGTGTGGTAGGTAGGTTACCAATTTTAGCAAAGGGAGCTGTGAAAAATTTATCAACTAAAATGAAACATTTTCAAATCTGCACCTTTTGACAGCATACACTCAGACTTTAAAAAGGATTCAGTAAGCATATAGTTTTTTACTGCAAACTATACTTCTTCACCCCTCAGAATGTTTAAACAATACATCTGGGTAATAATAAAAAACTTAGCCAAAAAAACAAACACCTCCCTCTCTCCCAAACCCAACGCTCAGTAATACCAGTGATCTAACCGAGAAGAAAGTAAAACATGCAACTGCTGAGAATGTTATCCCAATCTCCTCTAAGGGGTAACCAAGCCAGAAAATATTCCCTTCTTCTCCACTCCTACCTCAGTCAAAATCCAGGAGATGTAAGCTGAAGTTAGAAATCTCCAGTTTCAAAGATGTAGGCTCCTTCATATAAGAATAATTTGGTGTTTCAAAAGAGTAGCACTGGAGCCATGACACTGCACCAGTTTCTGAAACCCTTAAAATAGAGGCAAAACATTTCCTATAATGGCTTTATAAATTCTATTTCTTTCTTTTTTTTAAGGATGCCCAGGCAAAATATGTATTTCACTTAGCATGTTTTTAACATTTGCAGCTACATAACAAAAGAGAGACTGGACATGAGCCAGCAATGTGCGCTTGCAGCCTGAAAGACAACCATGTTCTGGGCTGTGTCAAATGCAGTGTGGCCAGCAGGTTGAGGATATCATTCTGCTCCTCTTCTCCACTCTCATGAGACTCTCCCTTGAATCCAGCTCTGGGGTCCCCAGAATAGGAAGTACATTGATCTGTTGGAGCGATTCCAGAGGTGGACCACCAAGATGATTAGAGGTATAGAGCATCTCCCCTATTAGGAAAGGCTGAGAGAATTGGGATAGTTCACCCTGGAGAAGAGAAGGCTTCGCGGTTACCTAATTGTGGTCTTCCAGTTCCTGAAAGGAGCCTACAAGAAAGATGGAGAGGGATTTTTACAAGGGTGTGTGGTGAGAGGACAAGATGGGATGGCTTCAAACTGAAGGAGGGAAGATTTAGGTTAGCTATTAGGAAGAAATGTTTTTACCCAGAGGGTAGTGAGGCACTGGAACAGCTTTCCAGAGAATTTGTGAATGCCCTATTCCTGGAAATGTTCAAGGCCAGGTTGGATGGGTCTTTGAGCAGCCTGGTCTAGTGAAAGGTGTCTCTGCCCATGGCAGGGGGAGTAGAATTGAATCTCCAGTCAGCTCATTCCCTAGGAGGGTCTGGAAGAATTTACACTTACTTTTTAAATTTTTTTATTCATTTGAACATTCAGAACTTGGTCAGATGATAGGGTAAGTTAGGAAGCTGTGATCATGATGTTAAATAATTCTGAGAGACCACTGCTTGGTGCCCTCATACGCTTAGGGCCACAGTAACCATCACAAGCATCTGGGAAGATGCCTTCCCTAGGTTTGGCTGGCAGGAGCTTTGTCTTGAACCTGAAGGTAGTGGGAATTCTCTAGATGACTTTTGAATGTTTCATTATTTCTTTGCCTTGGGCATTGGTCTCTTTTTTGTTATCTGTAAAAAATCAGTTTATGTATTCATATAAGAAGTGTAAAACTTCTGCATAAATCAGGTGACAGGGCTCTGTATAGGTGTGCCTGCAGGAAATTACAATGATGCATGACTGTGGTTACCCAAGTTTTAGACACTCATGCATCACCGCGAAGCTTTAGATTTACTTGTATCCTACCATGAAAGTCATAAAGAAATGAAGAATGTGCTGTTTAGTAAGTTGTAGATCAGCAGGGATACGAAGGCCAAACTCTAAATATAGATAATTTAGTTTGTTTAAGATCTGTAAATATAGTATGAAATTGGAGTTTTCTTTCTGTCTTTTGTTTATTCACTTACCTTTTTATTAGTTGACTGCTTTCTACCCCCATTTCATTCTTCTTCATTACCCTCCTCAACATTGCAAGAGATTGCTGCATAGATAAATAGATCAAAATTGTTGTTGGTAAGAAAGGACACTCTTTCAAATACTCTTGTTAATATTCTCAGAGAGCAAAGAAAAGTGACTTCCTGAAACAAATTTCTTTGCTTTTTTTGACATTTTGTAGAAAAAACCAGTATTGAATCATCTTTAATCCTAAGGGCTCAGTCTTTAACTTAGCTGTAGTGTGTGGGGAGGAAGACATTTGAAAGTATTTATTGCCTGAGAGACAAGAAAAAATAGGAAAAGTGGTGATCTAGGGCAAGAGTAGAAAACATGAATCATGGTGGTTTGGTTTTTATTTTCCTCAATCTAGTATGAAATAAGAGCAACCAGGCAGTCTTATTGTTAGAGTCTTTGAATTAAATTCTTCTGAGTGCCAGGATTCTAGGTAGTTCTATAAAAATTACTAGGGCTTGAAGCATGTGTAGAAACCTTCCATGAGTATTTATGTATCTCATTTGACACAGGACAGAAAGCTATCCCAGAATGACTTCACATCAATTACTGCTATTGAGACGTTGTTCCAGTTAAGAAAGGTGCATTCAAAAAATAGTCTTGTCATTGTAACAAAATATTGTCAACAAAGTATGTTAAAATTATGATTTTTTTTTTTCTGTTGAAGGTGGCATTTGACAAATTATGTAACTGATCTTTACGTGGAGTGATTAAGTGTTTTTGTAAAAATAAGTCTGCCAGTTTTATACAAGCTACTTTACCTTGCATGCCTGCTTCAGATATATTTTAATTTAGGTATAGCTAGGGATAAAAGCTTGACTACATAAACCCTAATTGATTGATGCATAAATTTATATTCCTGGATCACAGAGCAGTTAATTACTAAACCCAGAAGTCCTACCTGATTTGAATCTGAGAGTCTAAAACATGTGACAGCAAGCCCTGCCCTCTGCTGTGTCTCAGTGTGTGGCTGGAGCTGTCAGGTGTACAGACACCATCCAGGAGGTTGGAGACCCTCCATAAAGATGTATACTCTAACCAGAAGAGAAAAAAATAATTTTTTCAGTCATTTTGGAAGAAACCTAAGAAAGGAGGGAAGCTAGGACTTGTCTGAAACCACTTTTTTTCTGTGAAATATACAGCATATTTGGTGCTTCAGTGGCTTGGGTAACAAATACTCTTTCATTTTAATTATTTATTTATGTATTTATTTTTAAATACTACATAAAATCATCTTTTATACTACCAATACTACTGCCTATGAGCTTGATGGAAGGGTTACTGTCATGGTATCATAGTACAGGAACTGCCTTAGTAATGGTTAATACAGAAGCCTGTATGATTAAATTCCTGATAAAATTATGTTAGTGGTACGAACCTGGTTTTGGGGCTCCTAGATGAGTGGAGCCCATTCTGCAAAGTGATTTTTTTCATGAGGACACCTCACATTTGACAAAATGGATACTTCTCTGAAACTCTGCTGCACCTGTGGGAAAAATGGAGCTTTGCTGCACTGAGCTCCATCAAAAGACTACCTGGTAGTTTTCACCAGCAGATTTAATTTTAAATAAAATGTCTGTTATAAATGTTTATTAATCTTCTTTACTTTTAAACACTAAAAAGGAATCCAGAGGAAAAATATACCAAACTAACATTAAGAGTCTGATTAAATTTTGGAGATGCAGAGGTAGGACTCAACCAAACAATTCTAATTTTCATGCTGTGGTATTGTACCTTGTTTAGTTTGCAAGTTTCCTTTCCTGATAGACCGTAACAGCTGCCAAAGCACAGCTTTAATGAATAAAGATTGGTTTATCCTTGACTGTAAATGATTTTTACTTAATTCTCCCCTGCATCAGCTATATCCTTGAGATGCATCCTTTCATGTAAAAGAGGTTTAGATAGTAGAATGAAAAACATCAGACCATAAAATGTACATGCTAAGAGGAATTTAAATTTCAGGCTCAACTGTTGTGCTAGTATTGTGGTTGATGGAAAATTACACTTGAGCATGCTCACTGCAGAGGTGGTTTTTGACTAAACAGAACTTTTGTATGAAAATAGGTGCTTTCCCCAGGAGGAGAGATTGACCTACAAAGGACAGCTACAGAACAAAGCACACAGATTTTCCTAGGAAAGCTACAGCAGTGTTTCCAAACTTTGACCAAAATACTTGGATTTTTATATTCTTTTCATCCTCATATATAATCCAACATTTTGTTTATGGCCATCACCTACAAACTAAATTCATAGATTTGCTGGGAAACTTAAGAATGAAATATAAGCATGCATATACATCATCAGAAACTAGGTAGCAACGAATTTAGTCAGAAGGGACTGCTGTGCACAATATTTCCTGCGTTGCTCAAAGAGGCTGTTGGAGAGCGTATCGGATTTGATAGTGAAAGTCTGGAAATGTTCTGAGTGATGAAGCTATCCATCATGAGGATTAACTCCTGAGTATCAGTCTGACTTAGTAAATGGCTCCAGACTATGAAACTTCTTCCTGCACTAGCTTGCTTCTGCACAAATATATAGGGAAGTCAGCTCAACCTTTCCTGGTATCTGAGGGCTTGTTCATCTTGTTAGATGAGCAAGAAAACTTAGCACCTCTCTGATGCTGCATGGACTTTGACCCTCCAAATCATCTCGGAAGCAAGGGCCATTTGAATATGGAAATCTGCTTTCCCATCAGAGATTGTTCTGGGAAGTTTTTTTACTTTTCTTGAAGTCAGCCCTGTCCTTCTCGCATTCTTTTGTAGAAAAGGCAGCAAAAAATTTCCATGTGTCTCTACAAATAGCAGGAATTTGTCACCTTGGGAAAACTTGTAGTAATGACTTCAGAGATATCAAAATTGGAAGCTGACATTATACTTAATGTTACTCAGGAATCATGGAATGGCACTGTTAATGTAAAGATAAGTGAAACTGGCTGTTTTCTGTAATGGCCCCCTTTTGTAATTTAAACTTAATAGGGAATATTTAATCCTTACTGAATTAAATGCTTCAATTTTTTTCAGAAAAAAAAAAATTCAGGTGTTGTTTGTCCGTTGTGTACAACTTAAAACTGAAAAGTCACAGACCAGAGAAACATTCTGCTTGGCAGTAAGTGGCATTTGTCTGCCTCTGAGAGGCAGATTAATCTAGATGATTTCATGGGCTCTCTTTTAGTTCATGTTCACAGTTCCCAGATGCTGACAGCAAGAGAAAATTCAATCAGTTGAACTCAAAGCCGAATAAAAAATATACGTAATTTTTTTGCAATATATAATTAACCTGTGTCAGGCATTTCCCCAAGATTTTATTGCAGACAGATTGTAAACAGGAGCCTGCAGTCTTAAACTTTTATATGTCTCTTCACAATATTTACAGTTGCATTAGAAGTTGGAATTACAGAAGGAATATAAACATTCATACTTCCCCTTTTTTATAAAATGGAAAGATGAAATTGGTTAGTTTCAGATTTTCATATTTTAGAAAACCATACATTATTCTATATGAGACAAATGCTCAAGGTCTGTGTGCCAGATTCTGTGCTCTTTAATTGAGTGATAGCTTTTGCCTGATAAAGGCCTATGGAATTCAGCCCAGTTATGTTATGCCTTCTTTTATGTGAGTCTTTTTTCACGCAGTGCTGTGTGCTGCAAATTAGGATGCTGTAGTATGACAATGCATGTCCTAAAAAAATTCATCTGTTTTCATGGGTAGGAAATTATATCTCTCCCCCATCATTAACTAACAAACAGTGCCTCCCATTCAGTATTCTGCTTACCACTGAAGAGTTTGACACGTCTTTAAACGTTTTATTGTTTTGGGCTTAAAAGATTCTGTGTTGCTGACAGAGCAGTTGCACAGCTGGCTGGCCGGTTGTACTTAAAGCACTAATGTCGTTGGAGCACAGTTGTGGTGAAGAAAATAATGAAAAAATCCTAACTTTTAAGATTAGTCTTGTTTGTGATAGAATAAAGAACATGTTCCCATAAGTTTAGGAAGATAGATTTGTATTGTTGCGATAGTAAAACAGTACTAGAGTTCATGGAAGATGAACTAAAAATTTTTTTCTGTGACGAATGTTTTGAAAAATCTATTAAGAATGTTGCTGATTTGTGCTCTTGGAATGAGCAAATTTAGAGATGATTTGATATTCATAGCACATCTGAGTACTGCATACGCTGAGCACCAAATTCCACCAAAGACATCAGCACATTGCTTCATGGTGAGTCTCTTTGGATCAAGGAAAATACATGCTGCTGAGAGAAGGATTATTGTTGTTGAGGGGAAAAGTGTAGACAAACTCTGTGGGCAAAGAATAGATTTCAGCCCAGAGCTTATTGTAAGAAAAAAAGGAGTCAACTGTTTCTTAATATACTATATTATAACAGAATATACAATATGTTTTAGACTTAACTAACTTTACGATTTCTGAAATGCGTAATAGTTTTGATGATTTTAATGTGTTGCCAGAGTTTAAGATAACTTAATTGGTATAATCCTTTTAAATCTCTTAGGACTATTCCATCAGCTTACTGACTATTCCATGAATCAGTCAGGGAATATGTGAAAATACATCTAGATTTTGGAATGGAGAAAAGTTTCCTCCGCAATTTCAGAAATGCTCCTCAAGTCTTGGGAACTGTTCTCGAGTATAAACAAAGTCCTTTTGTTTTTTTTCCAATATCATATCTTACTTGTATTTATTTTTTAATTATTGAATGACTTAAAAGGAATAGAAGGGCAGGGAAGTCTGTTGCAAGAGTGACATATGCCTCATTGTGCAGATGATGATATACCACCAAAATCTGGTTAGAAAGCACAGAATTGCCCTGTGGGGGCACTAAAGGGCTCTAAACAGAGGGCTCTAAACAGGTAATAGTATAACTATTTTAAAAGTGAAGAAAAAGAAGAAGTTTGTGTCTCTCTTTTAAGCTTCTGTTGGAGTACTTCAGCAGTAGAAAAAAATGGCTCAGCTTCCGTGGTTATTAGCGGAGGGAGAGCTGTCAATCACCTTGACTCCCTTGAACTACTCACTGCAGAGCCTATTACAATAGTTGCCAGTGTTGTTGCCTATACTTTGGGGACCCAAACAGCTTTGACTTGAAATTAATTTATGGAGTTTCATAATATTTTTTTTCAGAAATATTTGCTTCTTCTGATTTGGGGTTGGTTGAGTTGAAAGAGGAGAACACTGTGTGCATACAAATACTGGGGTGCAAAAGTCTCTGCAAAACCATACCCAGCAAAGGCTTCTGTAGCTTTTTGTCTGGGAGATTGCCTCGCCTTGCTCTACCAATATAAAATGAAATTATCTTTCACAAGTAGAGCAACTGGTGTGAGTTGAGAAGTGTGGTGAGAGCAGAGTGAGGTAAACAGCAGAAGAGAAAGGGAAGTTTCAGGAGGGTCAGGAAAATTGTTCGAAGAAAGAAGAAATCAAAGAGTACCTTCAGGACTGGAATACACTTTACCTATTCTATTAAACATTTGGCTTCCAGCTGTCTGATTTCTTCCAAAATCCCACCCTGTCATTTAAGACTGAAGATTCATCAAGAGCCTCTTTTTCTCAGCCTGTTCAGGCACCTGCCCTTTTGCCCATGGCTCCTGAGCATGACAGGCTTGGACATGCTTCTCTTCCCATCCGGATGCTGAACACGTGGCTCTGGATCCCACTTTTGAAACCTGCTCAAAGAGGAATGCGGTAGAAAAGAGACTAGTTTTAGCAGCTGACATTGCAGAAGAAATAAAGGAGTTGTCATGTGTTATTAGCTATTGTAATTAAAAAAATTACCTGTAGCAGTCACCAGAACTCTGGTCTTCTGGCTAGAATAGAAGACCTTTTTTGCCTTTCATAAGAGAACCCCTGTGTGATGGATTTGGTTTATTTTTCTATACCTGTGCTATGTTCAGTAGTGTTTATAAAGCACTGGGATTCTGGAATGAACATGGCCAGACAAAAATTATAGGTATTTCTGAAAGAGCCAAGCATTTCCTTTTGAAATGGATGGTGTTCAGTGCTTTGAAGTCCCTTAGAATATATCAGCATCATTAGGGTGTGAGGTACCTTTGGCAAGTGCAGTAAGGAACCACCCTGAACTTAAACTGAGATTTTCTAAGCCCACATTGTGAACATATCAGAAGGTAGGATGACTTTAACAGTACAGCACTTCTCTGCCTGACTTTGCAGGAGAGGTGGTAACCAAACTGTAGCTAGTGCCTGTATGTACTTTCAAATACAGATATGTGGTCTTCATATGTCTTACTTGCTAGTACTTAGTAAACAATATGCATATCTTTAAAGGACTTGGTTCATCACTTGTTTCTATTGATCATCTGTAGACAAATAAGGGTTTTCTTGTAGACATATGCTGTTAAAAATAATAAAATTCACAGCATTGAGCAGTACCTGATGAACTGTGAAGCCATAAATAGACCATCTAGGAACAATAAAATTTGCTTAATGTAATCCATGTAATTGGACTTTGTCCTGGTAACAAACAGTACTTGGTAGGAAAATGGTGCCACTACCCTAGTGATGTGTGGTACACAAAGGCTGTCCTGGCTTTTTGAAGCCCTCAGAAGAGCCATAAGTAGTTAACTTTTTCTTTTTCTTTCAGTTTTGCTGCTAGGTCTGTACAACCTTTATCTGGTAGATATTTCCAGGCCCTTATCTTGGCTTGTCCTAAAATATAAGGTGGAATAGAGGTATTGCATTAGTTGCAACAATGGCACAAAACTTGAGGGACCTCAATAGAGGGGTAGAAGGAAGGCTGCATGTGAGTATGACATGAACAACAGAAGGAAAGGGAATTACGGTTGTTTTCTTTCTGGACAGCAAATGTGAGAAGGCAGATAAATCATGTGCAGTTTATAGCAGAAATTTCATGGAAACCAATAAAAACCGCTGTGGTTGGTTCCTCAAAAGTTACTGAAAGTTGTGGGAAACAAGTTACTGCAATTTTATGTGCTTCATTTTGTACAGGAATGGTCACACATTCTTCAGCAATTTGTTTCTTATATCCTTCCTTGAGTTCAACACTAATGGTATAAGTAAGCTTCCCTCAAATATATTAGCATAATTAATGATTTTCTGTTCTAAGTATATACAAATAAAAACTCTTTTACAATAAGAAGTATGAATTGCCTCAAACCATAATATAATTTTAATTTAAAGTGTGGGTTTCAGCACTCAGTAACTTGTTTCCCTTCCAACAGTAACTGTGATCTCTCTCTTACAGCTTGTGTACCTCTGTGTATAGAAACACAATATAAGCCTTCAGTAACAAAGCAATGAAGAAATCAAAATGTGGATAGATGGCTCAAATCATACCCCACCGAATATAGCTACAGCAGTGTGCTCTTATGCAGCAGGCTTTGATTATAACTCTAATTCCTTCTTCACATAGTCTGCCTCCTATATTAATGTGTCAATTCAAGTACTCTTTACTCTTGTCCTACATTTGATTAAAAAAGAAAAAAAAAACCCACATCTGGGCTATATAATTTTAGAATAGGCTCCATTAGTAATTGGTGACCTTGGCTGACCTTATTTTTTGTTTTAGAAATATGCATATTGCATAGCTGAATGAGCTAAAGACCTATTTTCTAAAAGAACATAGAAATGAGGAGAAAGGAGAGCGAGCCTAATCTGAAATCAGTGTGTAACATGCAATCACACAAGAGGGTAGGGAGAACAAGAGGCAGGCATAATACACCAGATGTGGCTAGTGACAATATTCAAAAACTTCTCTGCAAGTAATATGGATGAATTATCTTCACTTACCCTCTTTTCCCTTCACCTTGCAGTATACTGCCTATAGAAAGTGGTGTGTAACTCGGTGTAATGATCAGACTGTATACAGGGGAAAATTCATATATGTAAATTGTGGGCCAAACCTGCACAACTGCGTTGCACCACCATGGGGAAAGTTGCACTGGGGCATACAGTCTGTTTTGCCTTTATAATTCTTGATTTAGACCCCTGAAATCCTGAGCTTCCCATTCCAGGATGCTAATGATCATAAAAGGTATTTTGTACACAGATGCAAATGATTGCTTTCATGGTCCTCAGAAAATGAGTACTATCCACAGATGGGGATAGAAGATGGGGAGGCACATCTTCAGAAGCTGTGAAGATTTTCTCTGAGGGTGATTATACAGGAATGGTTAAGATGTTTGCTTTTGTTTTCCTTCTCCAAAGAGTCTAATCAGACTCACATGGCTTAGGAATAAGAAGTGCAAACAAATCCAAAACAGATGTCAGGTCCCAGCTTTCCTAAACATTCAATTTCTGTTATTCACTGCTGTGGTGTGTGGACTCCTCTGGGAAGTAGGCCACCAAAACATGTTTCTTTACTGATGTCGGGGAGATTTTCACACACTGAAAAAGTTCTACATTTTTCCTTTTTGAGTAACTTTAACCTCAGCAAGAAATTAGTTAATTAATAAATGAAGAGGAGTGAATTAATTATGAATTGAAATGGTAAAGATTGAGATTCTCTGCAAAATTTCTTTGTCATATGTGCACACATGAACTAGGAAGAAGATAAGGTCATACAGAAATGATTTCAGGGAAGGACAAGGGAGCAAGTGAAGAAACATTTGAAGTAGCAGAGCCTGGAGGAGTTGTTGCTCTGGAGAATTTATGGCATTTGGTTTTGGGGCAAACACTTAACCTGTCACTTGCTTTAAAATGAGAGAAAACACACCCGCTTGTACTGATTAGTGAGTTGGAAGTAGAGAGGAAAGGGGTAGAGGGGGTGAGATAGTTGTGAGGCTTCCATACATTTAAATTCTGCTTCTAGAAACATAATAGAATTTTAGGGAAAAACATCTCTCTAAGTATATAAAAACTTTTTGAGTAGGAAATTTTATGATTCTTATAACATAATGTTCTGAAGGCATGCTTTGAATTGTTCTTTATTTGTTGAAAGCACGGTAGAAAATCAGTGGCTGTACAGACTGCAGTACTGGATTTCATTTCAGAGTTTTATATCATTCTGTGAAATCAGCTGACAAAAATGAATTCACATTTACTTGAAAAGGTAGTACCGCATGTTCCAAAAAAAGGGCTGAAAGGCTACCAGATGTATTAAAAATAACAATATATCAAACAATGTAGATATTTAATGACCTATTTTAGAGACTAATAATTTAGCAGCCTAAGTATCATATTTCTTATGGAAACTTGTATCCATGAGTTCCAAACATTCAAAGTATATGGTGGAGAAAACAATGATTTAGAGTCAAAAGACTGGACATACAGACAAAAAAGTATGAGAGTGACGATGTGGAAAGATGTCTGTTAAAATGGGTGAAATAATTTTGTAATTACCGTAAACATGGCAAAATATAACTTACCCCTCTCAAGAGTGTCCTTAAAAAGGAATAAAGTGCACAGAGGAATACTAAATGAAAGAAAACCTGTCCAGAAATAGCTTTTCTATTTTGCAGTTTTGGCCTTACAGATTGTATTATTCATTATGTTAATTTAACAGGATTTAGAGAGCTTTTTTCCTAGTGGTAGAACGCCTTGGAAAAATATCTTTAGGGGAAACTGAAATTTACCTCCTCCAAACCATCTCACTTAAGGATTTCGTCATGGAATCTGTCCTTATGTGGTTACAGATGAATCAGGCTTTACTGGAGAGTGAACTACCAGCTACATAATCAGCTTACAGGTGAAGAAGAGCAACAGAAATAGATGGAGTGACATATGGGAAAAGATAAAATGGTGTTAAAAAATGCATAGTTTGCCTTTAGAACTGACTTCGTCTGCGATGGGCTTTGGTGATAGTTTGCAGCTATTGGGAAAAGTGTGAAATAAAAAGAAGGAAATGAAGTTGTGTGAAACTTAGAGTATTTTTGTTTACACCGAGATTGAATTCAGCCATATGTTTTCTGTAGAGGTAACTGTACATTCCTTTCAGCCTATATCCACTAGATTTTTAACAAGTTTGTGCTCTGTGAATAAAGAGGGTTTACAAATATAATATTTCACTAGCTCCTTGCCACCCATATCTCTCTACAGACCACATCTTCATAACATTTGGAAGTTTGTTATCTTCATTCAACAAATAAGAAGGCTTCCAATGTGACCGCAGGAGCATGTAGGTATCCCAATGCAGGCTTGTGCATCACCTGTAGAGCCTGGAGGAAAGCCATACCAGGGCTCTATGAACCATGGTATACTGATACTGACTTGTTTAAAGTGGCTTATCAAAGTTTACTCCAGATGTGACAGGGCAGGGTATTGAACCGGCTTGACTTCTCATGTCCTGTGTTGATGTTACTGCGTCATACTTCCTCTCTTTGGTTAGACACGTGGTTGTGTTTGGGGCTTGGCATGATGGGAAATACTACTGAGGTGTGAAAGGAATCCTATCCCATATAGAAATATTACTCAGTTAAGCACTTGTACAGACAGAAATGGGTAAGCAGTTAGTCAGAGGTGATAAGTTATCCTGTTCCTATGATGATACCTCATTTTCTCCAGAAGGAACACAGACTCTTTAGCAGCTGGAAATCAATTCATTTCATTGTGAATGCTGAATTACAACAACATGAGACTGTAGTCGAAACTGAATTAGTTTCAAATAATATCTGCAGTGTGAACAAGACCTTCCTTCAGCTTTACCTTCAGCTTTACCTTCCTGCTTTTTCCACTCAATTCTTGTAATTTT